ACGGGGTGAAGAGAAGCTGCCATTCCAGTGTTGAGGATGACGATCTTCCTGTTGACGATTCTAATAGCATTTGCGTGCCAGCTTTGCGGTGTTCTAGATGTGTGACCATGGCCAAGGCACCACACTATTCTGAGTCTTGTGTGTCCCATGGGGGTGGTAGTGATGCCCATCTCGTGGAGTCATCATGAGGGTTCACTGAGTTAACCTGTGCACTAGTAAGCGCTCAGAGAGGATTCTGTTATTATTAATATTACTATTTATGAAACGAGAAGGCACGCCACCAAAAGTCCAATATGCATTAAAAAAAATGCCGACAACAGCCCTGCAAAGAAGATCCCTCATTTTATAGTCGAGGAAACCGAGGCTCAGAGAAGTGACGTGCACAGGCTGAACATTCGCCTCTTTCCCCACGAACTTCCTCAGTCCTAAGAGCAGTCGGTACCTGAGGTGCTCACACATCGCCTCTCTGTGCTGAAGCAGAGACTTGGAATCAGCCACAGAAGTGCCTTGCTGGGGCTGGCTTCGGATGTCCCCTCTGATACCCTTGAAACATTATGATGCGGCCTTGCATGTGGCCGGGAGATCGCCACTCTCTCGGGGGGGAAAAAAAAAAAGCAACTGTGGCAAACAAATTAATCTCAGACTTCCACTTCCTACCTGAGGCCCTTCCGCCGCAAACGTGTGAGGAGGTGGAAAGACGCTGCTGGGGTTTGAATTATTAGGGGCATTCTGGAGCTGCAATGCCTGCGGTCTGCCGATTGGGCTCTGTCTGCCTCGCAGGGTCTGTGGCTTTCCTTCTGTCCATTAATGGCTGAAAGTATGCTCGCCTTTATTACACTTAGGAAGCCACTTTTCACACCCACTTCCTCGTCCTGCCTCAGCCCAGGGCTAACGACCGACTTCACAAATCCTTTTGCTGACCGTGTCTTCTCAGGACTAAGAACATTGTAGACAGAGAGCGCCCTCCGTGCCCGCAGACGACGGGTCCTTTCCTCTCGTCTCAGTGGTGTAAGCTATTAGTAAAGTGACTTTTACGTCCTGAGTTACGCCTGCCCTGTGGTCCCTGCATGATTATAAACAGAAATCCCTTTTAGCCTTGCAAGTGTCCTGGGTCGGGCCATAAATCGAAAGATCACCCCGGTGTCCGCGCGCGTGGCGCCCCTCGGTGGCGTCCTTCCGCGACCTCGGACCACAGAGTGACGATTGCGCCACCTCCGTGCATCTTCCTTTTTGGTGCCACGTAAGGAAACAGATGATCTCAACAAGCACACAGATCATAGGAGAAAAGCCACAGACAGTTAGTGGTCCCCTGTGGGTGATCATTCATCCCAGTGTAGTGCTAACACTCATGATGGTATCTCGTGCCGTCCACGAAGTGATTTACGCAGCCAGACATTGCCTTATGGGATTGCAGCGCCAGGGGGAGCTGGGGAGGGAGTGTCGGGGAGCGGGGCATCATTACCTCCTCGCTTCTCTCTTTCTTCACGCCTGCCTCACTTTGTGAGAGGCTGCAGTTTCTCCGTTCTACCTTGGTGATCCAAATGCATGGTAGGGGTGTGGGAAGATGAAGAGAGACGGGGAGTGAGTTTTGTTTGATATTTTAAGCCGAACAGTATACAGCTCAATTGCATCATTTTATTATCTATGTGTTCAGACATTTCTAAGGGGCTGGCTTTATCTTCACTTTTGCAGCCTGAATGCAGAAAAACAAAAACAAAAACAAAAACAAACAACTTAAAAGCAAATGCATTTAATTTTAAAATGTTTTACTGTCAAACAATTAAGACTATTAACAAAATATTTTAGAAGATGAATAAAGTTAGAACTATAAACTCAATCAGAAATATTCTTATTGAGCTAAAAATGATGCTATTAATTCAAATGATAACAATAGTTTATACCGGGTTCCCCTATGTGTACTTAACTCAGGTTTGCTGATTCATTTTAATTCTGGTGGTTTGCTGGAGTCTTTCTGACTCATCAGATCTTGATAGAATCAAACCTCATTACCAGATTAGGGATCGTCCAAAGCCTTAAGAGTTTGGTGACTCATTGACGTGTTTATATTTCTCCTTACTTCTAGTTCTAAATCACCCTCCGACCCCACTGCACCCACCACAACCCTTATATTTAATTTCCACAAAACTACTTCTCCGAGGCATTTGCATGTATAGCCCACTTTATTGAAGATTTAGGGGAGCGAGAGGAATTTGCATCACAGATATAAAGCAAGTTGAATTTGGATACTGGATGGACATGCTCTTCAAAAGTCTTGGGCTTTGCTGCAACTGACCTCGAACCTCCCACATGTCAATTGACATGCCTTTCTCTCTCCTTTCTCTCTTCCTTCCCTCTCAGGTTATAAAATCCACCTTTTCCTGGTTTAACTTATTTTTAAATCTAATATTTAATGCAACGCAGTTAAGCTCTCACCAGCTCCAAAGGCCAAATGGAGTTTAGTGGCTCCACTTTCAAGGAAATGGTCTAATTAGAATTGGTCCCTAGTGAGGTCCCTTCTGCTTGAATTCGAGAACAATAGCAGTCTTTTTCCCTCTTCTCTGTCTGAAGGTGAGTTTAGGGGTGTGGGAGGGGGAATGGGTTCTGGGTACTATACAAAGATGAAAGGGCAAAACCATGGTTTTGGCCCAGTCGGGCTTTGAATTCCAGCCTCTCTACTTCCTAGGGTGTGTGACCTAGGGTGAGTTACTTAACTCTCCTGAGCCTGCTTTCTTATCACTAAAATGAGGATATTATTACTTTTATTTTTTTTTGCAAGTTATAGAAAAGATATAGAAAGGATAAAGTTGAATAACACACAAGTTGTGCGAAGGATAAAATGGAATAACACTTCTATAGTACCTGGCTCAATGCAGGTACTCAACACATTTTAGTTTCCTTTCCTTCAGCTGATAAACATTTCCCTTGATGATTACGTATGTAAACATTACACATTTGTAAATTGCATAATCAAAAAAATGAAACTTGAAAAGGAATCTTACTTCATATTTTTTGATGAAACAATCACCTCTGTTTGTTTTTTCCTGCAAATCAGTATTTTTATATGCAGCACTGGGTCTGCTTATGATGTTTATGTGCAATACTCAGCACAGCGAGACTCGTTTAAAACCAGGCTCTCTTTGCAGCTTTATAGAAGTTGTAAATATTAGGTATCCATGGTGTGATTTGAGACCACCTAAGTGACTGAGGCCTAGAGCTGTCCCTGAGGTATTATTTCCAGGTGGGCCCATCAGAGCTGACTAGGTAATGAGGAGATAAACACTAGTTAAGGCCTGTGGTTTGGTCCGATGGCCCTCACAGCGTAGTGAAAGTGGATATTGTACCAGCAGAAAGGACTTGCCATCTGTCTTCCCTCTAAAGTAGATCAACCAGAGCAGAGCACAGCCCCTGATGAATAAATGATTGTTGTCAATTAGGCCAATTTAAACCATCAGCAAAGGAAGGCCATACATATCCCATACGGCTGGATTGTAAATTCTGGGATGCCAGGGTTTATGTTAGAAACAGTGGCCAGCGTAATAGTTCATGTTCTCAGAGGCAGGAAAGAATCAACTAAAGCCTTAAGCAAAAGAGAATTTTTTCTATTGTCAGTTGTCTAGGGTTCTGCCAAATCCAGCCCCCAGCCTGTTTTTGTAGAACTCGTGAGCTAAGAATGGATTTTGCATATTTAAAGGGTTGTAAAAAGAAAAGAAATATATGCAACAGAAACCATATGTGGTCCACAAAGCCAAAAATATTTACTATCTGGTGCTTTACGAAGAAAAGGTTCCTGATCCCTGGTCTAGAGAATTTGAAATATCTCAGATTCATGAAGGCAAAATATGATGATTGATTTTCTCAGTTGTAATCTGATTTGTAGCACTGTTTTAACAAAGCTTAATGGGCATTATTTGGGATAAATATAATCCCATTTCAATATTTAATTGTGTCTTGTATCTCCATGCGGGGTTATTCCAACTTCGTCTAGGGAACAATCTCTCGTTGTTCTAGAAGTAGCTCATATGTCTGTCACCTTCTTCTGAAGCCCTCATCCTCACCTGTCACTTCCTCATCAAAACTCACCTGTTTGAAAGCTCTTCCTACCTTCTCCTCTGGCCTGATAGGGGTTGGCAGGGGCAAGCTCAGGAAGGGCTGTTGAGAGATTTTGACCATATTCTGTGCCTGCCTCTTGGAAGAAGCAGGCCTGGATCAGGCCCTGAAGGATGGGTGCATTTTGGGGAGGGCATAAGCAAAGGTCCAGAGGTGTGCGTGACCATCTCATGGAGTGTCCTGTTTGGGCTGAAGGCTTTTTATTGTAGTGTGAGATGAGGGTGGACTATCAACGTGGCAATTTTAAGGTGTATGGAATTTCAAATCTAGTAGTCAGCAAGGAGTCATTGTCATTTAACAGGGAGTAGTATGTGTCTGTGCGTTAGTGGGAGTGGAGTGACAGTCATGAAATTGGCTCTTAGTTAAACCCAAACTCGGTGCTGGGCATCATTTAATCCTCACAACAACTCTGTGGGGGAAGATATTATTATCCTCAGTTTACGAATAAGGAGATTTGGGCTTAAGGAGGTTAAAATAACTTGCCCGCGGTTCTGAAGTTAATAACAGGCAAAGCCAGCACAGTCTGACCTAGGAACCCAAGTTCTTCCGCCCTGCACCCCTGAAATAAGCTCCATGCAAAACGTTCTAACGAAACAGAAAAGAGTCAAAAGCAACTAAATTTCTGTCTTCCAGGAATGATCACTTTGGGTGACAATCCGTTTAGGCATCTTTCTATATATTTACTAATTACACACACACACACACACACACACACACACACACAGTAATTTTCTAATTTTAATTAGTGGGGGTATAATATTTCACTTTATGACTGGACCCTCATCCACATAATGTGCCTCCACTCTCTATAAATCATGGCAGGTTCTTGAGCAGGAAATCATTTTTTAAAAAAACTTTTAACTGAGTCTCATGCTTTCTCACTTTCTTTGCAGCATGCCCTTGATGCTGACAATGCAGGAGTCAGTCCAATAGGAAATTCTTCCAACAACAGCAGTCACTGGGACCTCGGAAGTGCCTTTTTCTTTGCTGGAACTGTCATCACCACCATAGGTATCCATTTGCTTGCTAATCTCTTTTCCTCTGCAGGCCATCCTGAGTCATGGCACCTAGTTAACATTTTGTCCTCATAGACTACATGGCCGCTTGAGTTTCCAAAGAGGCTTATGACGCACTGTCGAATTAATGCAGCGATTGTAGTGGCTTTCAATAAAAGGCAAAGCAGAACGAAGAACTTCAATTTTTCAAAGCAAAAGACTTGGTGGCTTTCAGGCTGAAAAGATCTAATGAAAAGGTTAGAGTGAAAAATCAAAACATCAATGGGTCAGTCGCGCTCAAGTTCCTTTTTAAAAATTGTACTTTTTGTTAAAGTTATAGATGAAAGAACCAAAATGTTTTAGGAAGTTTATGAAAAACAACAGTCTCTGCCTCTCTCCCTGCTTTTCACCAACCCCGGGACAACCATTGGCATTTCTTTTCCTTGGTTATTTTGCTATTCATCTCCATGTCTGTAAATACCACACTCGTGTATAGCCACTTCCTGAATTTTCGGTTTTAGGGTTTTTTTCTTGACTTCCCATTTTGGAAGATGAGCAGTTAGAGTTCTTTCTCCCCACTCTGCTGTGGAGAAGCTCTTTGTGTCCTCCAATCTCCCTGCTATAGTTTAATTAGATTATAGGGGAAGATCTGCATTTTTTTGACCAGGTAAATGCCCGTCATAGCTGATCATATGGTGCCTGATAATTACTTTGTTCCTGCACCTATTTTTGTCTTATACTATGTGTGTCTTTTTTTCCCGATGCTTGGGGAGTTTTGTATTTTTGTCTTCAGGGTTAACTTTATAATTATAATCACATATAATAAATAACCTTACTGTTCTGCTCCTTAAGCAGTATCTATTACTTCTCCGTTAGGGCAGATGTCATCTCTTCTCCCTCTTTTCCAGCACACAATTTTAGTTGACACCATCCTTTAAATGTTTACTTTTAAATTATTAAATATGCCGATGCTTCTATTAGATGATTTGCCGGCTCTAAATGATAATGCTTGGCTCTCCGTTATTACCCATAATGCAATCAGTGGCATAATTCAATCAGTGGATTTAGCATCTCATCTCCTTTCCCTCTGCCACTCTCCGTGGTTACTCATTGTGTCATTGTGGAACGTCGGGGTATATAATTTACATTCTGTCTTGTTCCCTGGATACTCATATTTGTTTTAGTTGTAGCTGTACAGTTAGATATTGTCACTGTTCATCTATAGTCCTTGTGCCATAGTTTTCCTCATCATCACTTGCTGGGTTGAAACTGGTCTTCGAGTAGTCGCCTTAAGAATGGCTGAAGGGAGCTGCAGTCCCTGAATTTCTGTGTTGTTCAAAATATTAGCCGTGTCCTTGAAGGGCGATTTGGCTGCAAATGAAATCCTTGACTCATGTGTTCTTTTTAAAGGGTCTTGGAGGTGTTGCTTCACTCTTTTCTGATATTTATGCTTCTGTGGAGAAAGTTGATATCAGCTTAATTTTTTTCCCCCTTACATAAGTGACTTGATCTTTGTTGATCAACTATTCAAACTGTCTTTCATCTGATAACACTACTAGGTTTTGTTTCTTTTCTTTCAGGAAAGTTTTCTTGATCGTCATCTTTAAGCATTTTCTCTGCTGTATGGCTTTAGTTCTGTCCTCTGGGGATTCCAACTATACATATGTTATCACTTCTTTCCTTGTGTTTTATGTCTATTGTTTTCCCTTTACCCCATTTTAACCTTAAAATTTGGCTTTCATTTTGGTAGTTTTATCCTCCCTATTCCTTTTTTTTTCTGTTTCTCACAGTGCCTGTTCTGCCATCCAGTCCTTCCAATTTTATTTTCATTTTGTGATCATTAGTGGGTTTTTTTCCTTCCTATTTTTTTCCTGACTTCCATTACTTCCCATTTCATCTTCGCTCACTAGCTCACCATTTCTTTCCTGATTTCTTGCATTTCTGCTTTGTGGTTTCTCTGCGAAGACTTTTAGAGGTGATTAATCCATAGTTGGTCACAATTTTGTCTAGTTGGGGCAACATTTTTCTGCTGAGTGTCTTTCATCCATTGGTAAGTTTTGCTGCTCTTTTTACATTTAAAAAAATGGAAGCTTAATATTTATGCTGGACTAGTTTCTTTTTTAAAATGCTCGACGCCAAATATTCCTGTACCAGCCATCTGTTGAATGGTTCCATGTGGCTGGGGAGAGCAGAGCAGAGAGAAGCAGGTAACTTTTCAGGTAGCACATACCTAGACTCTTCTCTTTCCTACTGCCAAGAGAGAGTGCTTCCTGCAAATATGGCCCATCTGTGTTATTCTGTGTATCATCCTGCCTCATCTGTTTTTCTGGACCAGATCAAGTGCAGGGTGGCGTCTGCTGCTAGCCCCCTTCACCCTACATCCACACTTGGTGCAAACAAGGGTATCTCCTTTGAAGTTCAAGGTGAGACCCTCACTTTTATAACTGAAAATTTTCTGGAACTTTCTGAGATTTGCCACTGATGGGTTCTTTTATCATTCTCTGTGTTTCTTTTTTATTCGCACCCCCCCACACACACACACATGGCTTCTGTCCAATCTCAGCTTCTTTTGGTAATTCTTACGCATAATGGTTTGTTCCAATTATTTAGTGGTGAATTCGTTCATCGTATGTGGCAGCAAGGCTTACAAGAAAACTCAGAGCTCACTAATTCTTCCAGTTCTTCCTGAGAAATTTTCCATTATTTAGGAGTCAGGCAATGAGGCAGCTGGAGCTGAAGAGCTGTCTTTTCATTATTTGTGAAATGCATACACATTAGCCTACTTGCTTGCTTGAGTTCACATAATTTGTGATGCTAATATTGTAAACACTTGCCCATATTACTAAGCTTCTTTGAGAAATATTTTTGATGGGTTCCATTGAATCTACTATCCATGCTATAATCACGTGTTGTTGGAGGCTGAAGCTGTCTTTCTTTTGGGATAGTATTGCACCACAATGAAAATATTTGTGCATGAAGTGTGGTCTTTATCTCTGGTTGTTTCCTTGTAAAGATCCCCAAGAGATTGCTGTGTCAAAGAGCATGGACCTATTAAAAGCTCGCCAAATTACTTTCCAGAAAGACTTTCATGAGCCTCATGAGGTTATGTACTTTTCAGATACACAAAAATGTGTTCATTACTTAGAATGTGTGTGTAGAGAGATCTTAGGAATAATAGATTCTTTTCTGAAAAGCAGCAACCCTACTCAGTATCAAAGGTTCCTTTTATCTGAAGATATCAAAGCACTTCTTTTTAAAAAAGCTTTTTTTTTTGTGCGTGTGCTCAGACATACAGAAAGATTTACAAGTGTATTGCAGAAGAGAATGCGGTCAGGTTCTACCCAAACCAGGAGCCACCCCAGGAGGAAGACTGGACTCTGCTTAGTCTTGGCTGAGAATGTCCTGCACCTGCCCCCTTGGTCAGTAACTAATGCTGTTGTGAGCAAGTCCCACCTGCCCTTGAACGCTGACTCTGCTGATGGATCCCCAGCAACTAGCTTTTCTAAACTGGAGGAATGACACTCACCCCTGAATGCAGATGCCTTCCCACAAACCATCACTTGCAGAAGGGCAGCAAATGATGGCTTTCTTACCGACAGCTCTGAATGCAATCAGATTTTAGTCTTCGAGGCCTTTTCCGATTGAGTCGCCAGGCTCCACCCACATTAGAGAGAGCCCCTCCCTCATCAGGTTCCAGATGGTAGCTGGTAACTGTTACTTGCTGGAAGGCCTCATTTAGGAGTTGTACCCGCCCAGGAACCTGGGCAGCTGTTTCTAATTAACCAGCACTGGAGTTGGATGTTTAACCCATGGTTTAGGAAACAGCACTGACTGTGGCTAACAATTAATAGGTGCTAGGCACTGTGCTCCATGTACATTTTTTGAGTCTCTCACTAACCACGTGAGGTAGCTGCTGTTATTAGCCTCATTTTACTGAGGCCCAGAGACGTTATGTAACTTGCCCAAATCTCATGGTTAGTAAGCAATGGAGCTTAGTTTTATCTACCAGGATCAGCTCCATAATGTGCGGGGCCCAGTGCAAAGGGAAGATGTGGTCCCTTGCTAAAAAATGATTAAGAACATAAAAATGGCAACAGCAGAGCATTGAACCAAGCATGGGACCCTTCTAAATGTGGGGTCCTGTTTGACTGCACAGGTTGCACACCCATAAAACCAGTCCTGCATGCACAGACATTCTGGTTCTAGAATGCACACTCTTCACCAAATAAGAGGACTGCACAGCACGTGGTTTGGCAAAGATTTGACTTTAGCATGTAAATAGCAAATGGGAGCATTATGTGTGTGCTGCTCAGGCATAAGTCCTCTTTAAACACCAGCTTTCTGTTCATAAAGGGCTTGGGATTGTTTTCTATCCGGGGGTGAATGGAGCTAAGTCCCACCTTGGTCTTTCCCATTCATAACAGAAATGTCCTTCTTCGAAAGCCACCAGCAATCAGTTGGTGGAGTATCGCTTTACTTGAATCCAGTTCGAATGTTCTGGCCTAGTTCTGCCTGGTAAATTACTGCCACAGCAGCTGTGTCACCGTCTCTCATTTCCCAGCCTTTGCTGCTCATAGCTGCGTCAAGAGATACCGACACTTCAAATCTAGCCATGGGCCCACCTGAGTTGCAGACATTTTGTCCCTCGTCCTGGCAGTGTGGGAGAACAGTTTAGCTTGCAGAGGAAAGTAGGAACCAACCATCTGTTTTCTCCTGGGGCTCAGTTTTTCCAGAGACATATTTCTCAGAAGCGATTCCTTCCCACAGAAAACCTGGGGCAAGATGATAATTGCTAACGCTTAATGAGCGCTTACTTTGCGTCAGGCTTCACATGTATCTAATCTTCACAGGTCACTCATGCTTTGCGTGTAACTGATTTCATCTTTCATAGCTGTGATAAGGTGGGTGCTATTTATAGCCCATCTCTCAGATGTAGAAAGTTTAGGTAGATTGCTCAAGATCTGAGAGTAAGTGTGAGAACCAGAACAGGAATCCTCTGTCGTTCTAGAGTCTACACAAACCATCACACCTTACTTCAAAGTCCTACCAAGCATTCTGGAAGGATGGGGAGGGCAGCCTAATGGGCCGGTACAACTCGAGCCAAAAATCCAGGAATGTGGCCCTCCCATTGCCTCAGAGCAAAGTTCCAAAATGTAAGTTTTGGAATTTTCTGAGGGACAGGGTGGAGGGTCAAACTGGAGCAGTCTCTCCATATGGTTTATTAGAGGCAGAGTACAAAAATGTGCACACATAGGCAAACACACAAGCTCATGCACAAAATACAGCATCACTCAAGAGTGGCGATTATGTCTGATATGAAGCGATAACCTTAAGTATATTTAGACTTATTTAAATATTGCTTTACTAGTTCCTTTATCTGAGAACTTTGCTTTAATTTTATTTTAGCGTTCTTGTCAGTGAAACACTGTATAAATAACGAGCCGATAATAATAATAATAAAAAATAATAATAATACTTTGCATTGGTATAATACTTTCCACTTCACTGATTTTTCCCCACGTTTTCCTTGAACCCTTCCCACACTGGGGTCAGGAGCGGCTAAGGGAGTCTAAGGACAGTCAGGTAGAATGGAGTGAGTTGGCTCGGAGCCTCTGTTTTCTCATGCTCCTTGGATGACAATGGAATGTTCTCAGAACATGGTACCTTTCCGAGGTGGGGTGGCTGGCAGGGGCAGAGCCTTTCTGAAAGCTGGAGGAAGGGTCTGCAGCACTCGTAGGGGCTGAAAGATGCCTTGCCAGCAAGTTCAAAGCCTCACTTTGCTTGCCGGTATCGGCAATCTATTTCATTCTGAGTTATTCGGCTAAAAGTAAAGCTTTATTCCCTGACAGTAATCAGGCAATTGTAAGACAGCCAAGCAAGAGGTATAAGTATTTCCATGAGTTACTAGAATGTTTCCCAGAGTCACCACGAACCTGCATAATGCGAAGCTACGTAGGCATATTATTTATTCCCTTTTCCATAGGGCTATATTCGTGTAAATCGGATTCTAGAGGGGAATGCTTAGAAAAATGATTTTGTCCAAGTTCCCGAAAGCACCCGAATAAAGTTCCAAGAGCTTTTTTTGGCACCGTTAAATCAAAATGATGGTGACGGAAAGAAATGCAGGATGAGGAACGCTCGCCTGAACACTCATTTAAGAAACGGAAACTATAATTTAGATAATTTGTCATAAGAGGTTTGAATGATTTTGAGTAGAAAATTGAAAAGGAAAACAGCTAGGCGACTCTGCGCAAGGGGAGAGAGCAGCAATGAGTTGGTTCTCTAGGTGCATAGGAGAGCGACGAACCAGCCATCGACATTATTCTTCACTGTCGCATCCCCAACAAACAGATAACCATGAACCCAATAACTCACCCATTGCATAGGTTTAGAAATGGGCCTACATGAGTTATCCTCACGGGAGACTAGCTAAGTGACCATCTAGACACTAGTTAGCATAATATTGCAATACTCGTTGGCATGAAAATGAATAACTAGTAATTTAGAGTCTCAGCTCTATATAAATTGCGCTAATGCCAAAAGCCTTTTTCTTTCAGCCTTGCTGCCTTTAGTTCCATCCACACGGAGTAAGCCCAATACTTGCTATATCTCAGTTACTTATATAATTGCAGAACTCTTAAGAATGCGGATGTTGCTTTCAAAGCACTATTTGACAAACATGCTGGTAGACGGGGCTTTAAAATAATTCTTTTGTATTTAAACATCTAGTCCAACAACAAACTTTTATTTAGTATTTGATAACCTTCAGTGCAAGAGGTGGATGGGAGGAGAGGCTGGACTCAGAGATGACGCAGGGTTTCCAGTAAAGAGAGAAAGCCAGGCAGAACAAAACATCAGTCATTGTAGGAAAAGGCACGCAGTCTTCCTTATCCTGCTCCTGACTGGCTTCAGGCTTCCAGGATAGGGCGGTGTGATCTATGGTCCTTCGGAATTTGTGCTAAACCACACATCCCCCTTTATTCAGATCACCCATGACCCCATGAAGGCAGATGCTGAAGACAGCCACAGTCTGCCAGGTGGAGGGGATGCCCATGGGATGAGACTATAAAGGAAGAGCTCTTTTCGAACCTAAAAATGACAAGGGCAAGCCCTCCTCAGGTGCGCTGGTGTCCCCAAGCCTTACACAGGCCCAGGATGCTTGGTGTTTCTGAAATGGATGGTACCATTGTCCGTCAGAAATGCAATTCTGGGTGACCATAGATTTCTTAAAATGTAATCTAACTAAATACATTAGACCTAGGAAACCTGGATCTCCTTAAAGCTATTCATTTACAAGGAGTGAAGGAAAAGAAGCAATGGAAGAGTGAGTTTCCACTCCCTAGAGCTCATCAAGTGAGGGGGATGCGGAAACATTTGGAAAGGTCTGTGGAGTCTTTGGCTTCCATACTCTGATTTCTCTGCCACCTCACTACTCTTCCTCTCTCTTTTTAATATTTCTCACCAGGGTATGGGAATATTGCTCCAAGCACTGAAGGAGGCAAAATCTTTTGTATTTTATATGCCATCTTTGGGATTCCACTCTTTGGTTTCTTATTGGCTGGAATTGGAGACCAACTTGGAACCATCTTTGGGACAAGCATTGCAAGAGTGGAGAAGGTCTTTCGAGTGAGTACTGCCTCTGTTTAAACCCCAACCTCGTGATCCAATTAGCTTTAGCCTAAGAGGATCCAGGAGGCATCATCAGGGATGTTGTCCACTTTTAATGAAATAGTCTCTTGTTTTGACCATATTTTCTATTTTGGCCCATGGAAGTCACAGTTACTGCGCCTTAACTCCCTTCTCGTTGGTAGTGTCCTTCTTTAGAGTGGTATTTATGGAATCACAACAGAAGAGAGTTAAGTATAGATTTGCCAATCGATTTTCTGAAGATGCGAGTTTCTTCTTAAAGAAGGAAGACGTGTATTTGCAATAAAGTAGAGAGTCGTAAACTCATCCAGTTTGTTTCTGGAACTCCTTTACTTTATTTTATTTCTGAGCACAGTGTCTTCAGGCCGATTCTGGCTTCTAGGACCTCTTCCGGAAGCCTGTCTTTTCCAGACACTACTTCGTGCTTTGTGTCTATCTCCTTGTGGCCCCTCCCTCTTCCTCCTCCTGCTGCTGAGTGCTCCCTCAGCAGTAGCAGACTGATGCATTAATGTGTACCAAGGTGTTGGTGATCGCTATGGTCTTAATATGTTTTTTCCTCCTGAGAATGCTTACCTTTGCACAAGGGACAAAAATTGCAACTCAAGAAATGTATTTATAAAGATGGCACTCCTGGCATTGGTGACAGGTGCGTGGAGTAGGTGTGATTGGACAGACTGGGGTTCCCATTCATATGATTTAACGGAACGCTTGTTTTGCTTAGGTTTAAAGTCATTTCTGCTCTTTCTCATTATTGACCTCATTCTCAAATCCTTTAGGGAACTGATCTCATGATGACTTAATATTTAAAAATGACAATTTGAGATCTTTTTCAGAATCTAGCAATAATGGACAAAGAGAAATCAGGGGTAAGCTCTAAATTTGAACTTGTCTTCCCCTCTGAGACAAGACATCATGACTCAAACTTTTCTTTAGGAGAAGTTCAGCTTGTTAGAGCAGAGGAATAAGGCACTGTGGCCGACCTAGAGCCACCTGTTATAAGCTCAGTGCCCCTGGCTGAGCTGCCTCAGTTGATTCACTAGCAAAAGAGGGTAGCATTCAAACCTTCTTTACAATGTTTTGGTAGTGATTAAGTGAAATAATGAATGAAAAGAGCTTTTCATAGGGCCGGACACATAGAGTATAGAGCTGCTTATGTGTCTCCTGAAAGCACTGTTTGTTGGCAGGCTCGACACCCATTCAGATTTCATCTGAGCAGCTCAGTGGCGGTGCATGTGTTTTTCTGGAATGTCCCACAATCTTTGCTCCCAAAGTGCTAGCTGGTCAGCCAGCCTCATTAGAGCATGCACCCAGGCTCAGTGGTCACCATGGAAACCACCAGAGCTCAGCTTCTCCTCTCAGATGGTCAGCCCTCCCTGAACCAGACACGACAACTCTGTCTCAGAAAGCTGTTCTCAGAGGTGCCTTTGAGCCATGGCCTCAGGGCTCTACGAGTTAGAGAACAATGAATCTGGCAGATTGGAATCTCAGAAAAACAGGGTTGAAATGGGGCAATGACTAATCAGGCATTTTTATATGTAAGAAGCTTCTCTACAGTGCAGTGTCTTTATTTGTAGAAAGAAAGGACTGGATGAAAAGCTTTTGAAATTTCTCTTTAGCACCCTCTCCCTCCAAAGAAACAAAACTCAACAAAACTGAGTTACTGTACTCTAAGCGAGGGAAGAGGTTGCAATCATTTGACTACAACTGCTACCAAATTTGGGGACTTAGTTTCCCCTAATGAATTCTGGACTTCAAATCCCCTTAAAGCTGCCTCTCAGTGGATCATTCAAAGGATTCTGGGACAGAGCCTTCCCAATCTCACATTTCATTTTTATGTTGATGTTCCGCTCAGTTCCTTGCAGAACTGTCAAAGACTAGGAGTCTTTCCGGAAGGAACCGGCAGTGTGTTATCGAATTGGCAGCACATGATGTGGGCATTTGCAGAACAGTGGAGGGAACTTTTGGAAGGGCTGACTGAGTGCCAGGTGAGATTTAAGCACATTTCCTGGGCATACAGGCAGCGGGTTCTGCAGCAGTTGGCTTGCTGCACGTAGGTTTGGTAGAAGACTTCCAAGCTCTTTGCTATTCATTTGAAGTACATCTAAAAGGCCAGTTACTTTTAGGTGATTATTTGAGAATTGAAAATTATGTACACCAACAAAGCTTGGGCTGTGAATTTTCTCCCGTGAGGAAGAGTCATTATTTTTTTCACTTGTTCAATGATTATTAAGCCTTCATCCATTGTGTTTTTTTTCTCAGTTCTTGGGGAAGAGAGGACTTTTTGTGGGGTAAAGATAAAATATAAAATCAGCCTTCTAGCTGACACGATTTGGTTCCTTCTACCATAGCCAAGTCTCATTTTAAAGAATTGCAGAGGGTTAATGTATTATTTTGGAATGCTTCTGGCTACGGAGTAATAAAATGTTTGGTTATTGGGACTCTTATGGGGTGGATAAAAGAAAACTCTGTTTTCCTCTTTGAAGCTCAGAACTAATTGAGAAGCACACATGGGAGTCACATGGAGATTAAAATGTCAACTTTACTGCAGATAAACTCATCAGAAGATGTAGCCAAAAGGAGTTAGTAACCACTCCACCCTGAATTAGAACTTACCTGTTGTATTCGTTTTCTATTGCTGTGTAACAAATTATCACAAATGCAGATGCTTGAAACTGACACCCATTTATTATGTTACGGTTCTGTAGGTCAGAAGTCCAGGGTAGGGTACTATGTCCAGGATATCATGAGACTGAAATCAAGGTGTTCACCAGGCTTTGGATTTGCAGAAGAATGTTTCCAAACTCATTCAGGTTTTGACAAAAAAGAATTGCCTGTGGTTGTAGGACTGAGATCTCTGTTTCCTGCCTGGTTGTCGGGTGGGGGACATTCTCAGCTTCGAGAGGTTGCCTGCATTCCTTAGCTCATGGCCCCTCCATCTTCAAAGCCAGCACGGAATCCTTCTTGTATCTCTCTCTCTGACTTTGAATCTCTCTGATTTTCCTTTCCTCTGCCCATCTGCCACCAGTCAGAGAAAGCACTCTGCTTTTAAGGGCCCACGTGATTAGATCAGGCCCACGTGGATAATTTCCCTGTCTTAAGCTCAATTGTGCCATGTAACACAGCATAGTTATGGGAGTGATAGCTCATCACATTGCAGGTTCTGGGATTAGAGTGGGACATCTTCAAGGGCCATTTTAGAAGTTCTTCCTGCCACCACCTCTCAGGAGGCAGCACAGGCCTCCTCGGTGAGGTCAGGGTCTGCCCCACTAACCTTGCTACCTCACAGAGTGCCTCTCTCTGCGGCAGGTGGTTTCAAACGGGAGAAGTGGGCTGAGCTGAAGTCACTTGTATGCTTGAGCGGTGAGGGGAAAGGCCCTAAATGTTACTCTAGCTGAAGTCCTTACAGGTAAAATAGGAGGCCCATAAAACGGACATTGCCCACAGCACTCATTAACAGTGACTTAAGAATTCGACGTCTCCTTATCCTGCATACCAGGAAGCTTCAGGTAATGAGCACCAGTTCCCCGCAATTACAAGTTAGGGTTCTGGTACCAATTCAGATATATGCATTTTTTTCCCCACACCACAAAGCAATTCTGCGACACAACCTGGGCATCCTACAATTCAACTAAATTCTGACACTACCTGCCCAGAGATGGCATCAGATCCTACAGGTTAAGGGCTTGGTCCCAAAGACTGCCTTGTACATCAAATACCAATCCAGGTTGTTACCTGTGCTTCTGAGCAGCTGCCTATTAATCAGAGGTTCCTATGATCCCCTCCTTGGGTGTGATTAATTAGCTAGAATAGCTCATAGAACTCAGGAAACCCGTTTATTCACTAGCTTACTGATTTATTACAAAGGATAGTGAAGAGTATGACTCCACAGCCAGACGAAGAGATACATAAGGCAAGGTCTCAAACAAAGGACCCTCAGTCCTCGTGGAAGTTAGGGTCTGGCATGGTGGCACATGAAAGAGTTCTCATTCCCCAACCTGGAAGCTCTCCAAATCCCCTCCTTTTGGAGTTTTTTTGAGACTTTATTACGTAGGCACGATCGATTCACTCATTGGCCATTGGTGATTGAATCAACCTCCAGTTCCTTTCTCCTCCCTGGAAATCAGGGTGTGGGACTAAAAGGTCCAACCTTCTACTGCGGTTGGTTCCTCTGACAACCAGCCTTCAGCCTTAGGTAACCCCAAAGTTGTCTCATTAACATAACAAAAGGCACCTTTATGACTCGTGGTAGGAAATTCCAAGGGTTTTAGGAGCTCCATGCCAGAAATGGACGATGACCAAATATATATTTCTTATTCTAAATCACAATATCACACAAGTACACCCAGGTTTATTCTCTCTTTCTGCTCTGTTCTTGGCACATTGGCTTTTAATCCTCAGGCTTATAACCAAGTGGTTTGCAAGATGGCTGCCTCAGGACCAAATATCATGTTTGTATTCAAACGCATTCAGGTAAGACACAAAGGTCTCCTTTCAGAGGAGCAAAGTCTCTCCCAGAAGCTACCCTGTAGGCGTCCCCTTCTGGCTCATTGACCAGAACTGTGTCACATGACCATTACCACCTGCAAGGGAGGTCAGGAAAGTGAGTGTCTGATAAAGGAGAATGGGGTAGATTGATTTAGACCAGCGGTTCTCAAAGTGTGGTCCCTGGACCAGCAGCATCAGCATCCTCTGGGAGCTTGTTAGAAAAGCCAATTCTTGGAGAAGTTGGGCCCAGCAACTTGTGTCCACCAAGCGTCCCAGGTGATTCTGATGCCTACTGAAGCTTTGGAACCCTCGGCATAGGGCAATCAGGGTTTCATCTCCTGGGGCTGACCACATTGCTGTGATGAACAAGATTAGAATTCTGTGAGCAAAGAAGAAGTTGGAGTAAACAAATGACAGCATCTGCTACAGGTATTACCAAGTGCTAGCCACGAAGACCACTTATAAGGAAGCTGTCCTCCCTCCCTCTTGTCGTA